CACTAGATCCACCTAGGGCTTCACTAAAGGGTTCCATAATAAGGGGTTCCATGTTTGGTTCTTTCAGATATTCAACTTCAATAGGGGATTCCATTCTAGGGGTGAAACATTTGTAACATCAATATGACTAGGGGATTCCATGTTAGGTTCCATTGTAGGGGTTTGCATGCTTGGTTCTAAAACAGGGAGTTCAACTATGTTTGTGTCAATCCATTTGAGACACAAGCTTATAGAACAAGAAGGGGGTTTAACAATCTCTTCAATCCTGAGTTTTGAAGGGTTAGGTGACATAACATATGTATGCAAGTTGGTACACCAAAATTCTGTGCACACTTCTATAAGCTTGTGTGAAGCAACGTAGGACCTTAAGTGGTTGACATCTTGATCACTACCCAACGCAAACAACCCAAAATCTAAATCCCCTAACGGTCGTTTAAAGTGATAATACATAACCTTACCTTCTTCAACGCAACCCAACTCCTCCATCATATCATCAATGTCGTGAACAGAGAACAAATCACTATCGATCAAGTCCACAAATTTGTGTTGTCCCTTGATGTATTTTCTCCCAGTAAATTTGGTAAACTCTCATCCACAGTGCAAGCGTATACTAAAAACAGTTGGATTCCCACCTTCACAAGAAAAAAAACAACTATATTTTCAAAATCAGAGACAAAATGATCAAGAACAGAGCATAAATGTCACACCCCCAAACCAAGGATGGTGGAAACGTCCGGGGGTGGAGGACTTCATGTATAGTATCATAACAAAAATTGCAATAGTGATTAAAGTAAAAAAACTCAACATATATATAATTGAAAGAGCTACATCATTGTATGAATTACATTTTTCCAAATCAATTAAAATATGTTGACAGAATGTGAAATGTTTGACGCCTTAACATCCCATCCTCAAAAGCACTTGGTTACCTGTTTAGTGATTTCCTAAGAATACAAGCTGTTTGAAAGTGTCAACACAAAGATTGGTGAGTTCATGAGTTTTTGTATGTAGTTATGAATACTTTTTTTTTTTTTTTTTTTTAGAAGTGGTGTTTGTTCCAGAAAATCCAATATTTTCCTTAATGTGTAAATGTAGCCTTAAAACCCAAAGACCGGAATGTACAAATAATTTGTCATATTTATAGTAAAACAATGAAAGTTTAAATTGACATAAACTCAGTTGATTTCAATGAAATTCCCGTAAATTCTATGTTTATTAATACTTAATGTGAGTTATTATAACCATCCTATGACCTAGTTGGCCTGAAACGATGTTCTTCAGGCATCGGAAATGTTATGACATTTGTCACCTCAGACCTGCTGGTCTAGCTGTTGCATGCAGCTAAGATGTGGGTTTGTCAATCCCAATATAAATCTATATACAACTATCACATTCTCCATCCAGGAGACTCTGGTTACAATACAAGACTTACTTCTATAAAGTGAAACGAGTGTCTCACAAAAGTCATTAACGAATTTACATGTAATGTGATGAAAACCCCTTTTATTTATAAATGTACCCTTTAGTAATGAGTTCGTTATGTAAATGTTTCACAAACTATACCTATTTTAGTTTGTCACAACAAGAGTAGTAGTAGTGTTCATAAACTATGGTTGTCATAGTTTACCAAATGTTCGTGTATAATAGATGTAAACATTTTGTTAAAACGATCTATCATTTAGCATGCCTAATGTAGCAAAAATCCATTTTTCTACTGATGTATGTCTAATTACCATGACAAAATAACATATAATGTAATGACATATAATCACATAATGATATACACCTTGCTCAATAAGTTACAAGGTGTAAATGAAATGACCGCATTTTTTCTAGTAATAGCATCTCCATTTCCTGTTCTTAGAAAATTTATAGAAAATTCATAACAGGTCCAAATCAGAATTCGTAAATTCCAGGAGTTTGGAAAACGTGTCTAGTTTGTTCATAAAATTTCTCATTAGTTCTAGTGATCTCCAACATGTGCGAAAAAGTCCATAATCACAGACTGGTCCAGATTGGTTCTTGAACTGATAGACAGTTTTGTAAAAATCACCATAAATTGTAGAAAAAACGTATGGAGATGTGCAAGTAACCATTTTAAGTCTAAGAACTATAAATACTTGAACCTAAAACAGTTTTGAAAAATAAAATATTTAAGTTGATCAAAACAGTCCGTGAATGGAGCCTAACTTTTCTGATGAAAGCTGTTAGAAGAATTTTAATTGTGTTCTTGGTGTTTTAACTTGTATTCCCCCCGTTAAAACTTAATAAAGCATGAAAATATAGGGGTATGAACTCATCTTATGTGATTTCAGTGTATGGATATTGAAGAAAAGGAGTGTTCAACTCAAGAACACTTAGAAGATTGTCTTGAAGATTCGAGAATCTAACCCCGGTGAGATGGAATTTGTGTAAGCAGTCTATAATTTTGAGTAGGAGGATGTGTAATAATCATAGGAAAGATGATGATACTTATAAAATGAAGGAGAAAATCCTGGAGTACGCCTTAAATTTCTCGAAATTGAGGGAGAAAGATGAGAGAGTTTGGAGTGTGATTCTTGGTGGAAAATGAGAAAATGAATGAAGTGTGAGGAGATAAAGGGGGTTGTCCAGCTCTTAGGATGTGAGTATGGCTGAGAAATGAGTAGGAAAGTACTCTTGAATGACCAATTATGGTGGGGAGGGGTGTGGCTTAGTCATGGAGTGGGTATGGGGGTGGTTGCTTGTGTCAAACATTGTGGAAGAGTCAACACTCCACCACAAAATCTTATTTAATGGATTTTATTCTTAAATAAGGATTTCCTTAAAAATATGCTAAATTTATGAATATATGGGACCTTATATGTCAAAATGTAAGTTTGGGTGAAAATCCCCGTTAAAATAATTAAAAACGGGTTTAAAACGGAGTCGTGGTCAAAAACCGGGTAAAAAGATGGAAAATTCGAAGTTTGGGTGAGGGTTCGGTCTCAGTAGCCTTAGAACCGAAGTGAGGGTTTGGCTGGTGGGTTGGATCCGAAGGGGAGGGGACTGCAGTCCGAGGAGAAGTGGACTGCAGGCGACTCGTCAGGATGGTCTGAGACAAGGGTTGGATGCGGGGCTTAGTTCTGGGTTCGGTGGCTTCGACCCGGTGGTTGCGGCTTCTCATGGGGACTTCGGCCTCGGTTCTTGTGGCCTCGGTTCCAGGAGGGCTTGGCCCTTATAGAGAGGCTTCGGCCCTAAGAGGCTATTTTCCAAGATATCACCCCTTTTTGAGTGGGTTTTCACCAAGTCAAGTGTCGGGATGCCCCAAATGATTATAAAACTCAAAAGAGGTTTTGGGAGAGATTTGACATACTTGGAGAGATTTCACATACGAAGAGAGATTTAGGAGAGATTCCACATTCTTGGTGAGATTTGAAATAGAGAGAGGTGGAGTGAAAGAGATTCAGAGGGGTTCCGTTTATGACCTTTTTGAGTGTCTGGCTTCGCAACGCAAGGTCCGTAAACCCCGTTAAGCCGTGTTTTAGCGTCCTACATACTCCCGATGAGTGTGCAATAATGTTTTATCGCTTTGGTTCATTGTTTAGCACTATCAAGGCCAAGGAAAATTAAACACACACATTTTCCAAATTATGTTTTCTCATTAAAATAGCGAGTTGTACAGTAAATACATAACGTAAACCCTAATATACAAGGGTTAATTGAGTCAACCGGTTTGACTCGTTGACTTTGTTTGACTTTGACTTGACCCGAAGTTGACTATTGTCACAATAAAGTGGTTGGCTTTCCTTACCGTAACTTGCTTCCAAATCGATTTCATCCAACTGTGTTCGTATTCGCCACCCACTCATCTTTACTCTTGACGAAAAACTAGGGTTTTTGTACGACGAGAAAGATTTTGATCTGGGAAAGGGTATGCAACGTTTGGGTGAACTGGATATGGCGCCATACACAATTGATAATCTACACGCGACATGAAATGACGAAAATACCCCTGCGTGCAAGACACGTGGGACACACAAACGGAGAAAACTAACGTCTAACGACAATAGGGACTAGGTTGGAAGTATTTAAATACATGAGGGACGGTTCGAGTTAATTTTCAAAAATAGAGACTGAACGTGCAATTTGGCACTTAGACCAGGAACGATTCGTATAATTTACTCAAAAATATATGAAAATTGATAATAATCTTCATAAATGGTCCATATGACTTTCTAGAATCAGAGTTGTAGTTCCTTACTTTTTTAGTACTTATGGAATGTTAATATTATTTTAATTTCTATAGTGATTGGTCTCTATGCATATAAAACCAATGTAGCGAAAATTAAAAGTTGCAAAAATTACTATTAAAACAAACAACAAAGTTGAGGGACTAAACTTGCCATTCCCTCAAACAATAGTGGCAAAATTCAAAAAAGAAAAAAGTTAATGTTCCTTTTTGTTTCCACTTTTAATATATATACATACATACACATATATATATATATATATATATATATATATATATATATATATATATATATATATATAATCTTCATTAATGGTCCATGTAATTTTCTAGAATCTAAGTTTTAGTTCCTTACTTTTTTTGTTCTCATGGAAGGTTCATATTATTTCAATTTCTATAGTGATTGATCTCTATGCATATAAATTCTTTTTATATATTTTGATTTTATTTACCTTTTTCTTTCTGATTAATTTACAATTTATATCAATACTTGTATTATTATTAAATGAAAAATAGCTTCCATCATTACCACCATTATGCATCACTATCTACTAGTATACCACCATCACCGCCACAAATTACATTCAATTATGTTTCTTATAAATTTCTTTAGACTTCAATTCATTTTACTGATTCCATTCCGTTCACTCAACATTTCATTATATAACACAACTTCAAGAGGTTGAAGAATGGATAGTACATTAGTAGCAACCCAACTCCACGATATCTATGTTGGATGAACAATTTATACATGTTTTAATTGGACTGAATGCAAGAGATAACTAACATACTTTAAGTTATTATTATCGCAACGTTATATATTGTAAGATCTACCTAATTGCAATATCTTTAAAAGGGGGAGACTAAATAATGCATATTGCTTAATACAAAATGAAGAGTATAAACACGAATTTATTTCTAATCCACCGAAAATGACATGCGTGCACATAATTAGAGCCAAAATAAGAAAAACCCTTTCAAAATATCAAAAAAATATGGCAAAAAAGTACATCGTACTTTCATACCACCAACTCCTTCAGAAAAGATGAAGGTACACAAAAATATAAACCACAAATTAGGAAACTCCTTTAAAAAATCAACAAATGACAGCAAATAAGGCAATAAACTACCTGGAAAATCAAGAAACTCTAGAAATTACAGAGGCCTAAGACCGAAAACTAGTTTATCAACCCAAAAAATGGAACCATGGAAAGTAAAATCAGAAAAATCAAAATTAAAATAACTGATAAAATTAGTAAAAGTGAAACAGAACCAGTCT